TCTGAGAAACTTTCCTTTGCGGACATACTCCGGAAAGTAAAAGGAGCTCCAGAGCTTAAAGCAGTCGGTAATGATGTTCACTCTATCAGGAAAACACAAAAAGGGGAACTTCTGCTTGAATTCAAAAGATCAGCAGAAACAATAACAAGTGTCCACCAAGACCACATCAAAAGTATACTACCTGAGGAAATAGAGGTCAAAACGCTAACGGAGGAAGCTACCTTTGAACTACGATACCTGGACGAAATAACCACAGAAGAGGAAATAATTGATGCATGGAAAAACCAACTAGGCGAAATACATCCCTCGGCGATCAAAACAATAAGAAATGCCCCTGGAGGTACCAGAACGGCTATAATTGTAATACCAAAGAAGCTGGCCGGTAAAGCTGAGGAGGTGGGCAAACTACGAGTTGGATGGACCGTGTGCCGATTACTCCAAAAAGTTACCCCCAGAAGATGTTACAAATGCTTCGATTTTTGACATGTGGCAAGGAACTGTCAGAGCTCCAAAGACTGGTCAAAACACTGCTACAAGTGTGGTGGAGAGGACCACCTTGCTAAAGCGTGTCAAGGTGCCCCTCACTGCCTACTTTGTAGAAATGACACAAATATTGACGCTAACCATATTACGGGAGGACCTAAATGTCCCCACTACTTGACTGCCCGCCGGAGGATACTAAATAAAAAAAGATGAAAGTTTTACAGCTGAACTTAAACCACTGTGAAGCGGCACAGGATCTGTTAAAGCAGACTGTACGCGAATTAAAAATAGATCTAGCTATAATGAGCGAACATTATAGTACACTAGACAATCACTGCTGGGCTACCAGCAAGTGCAACAAGGCATCGATATGGACGTGTGGTAAATTCCCACTAGAGAAGGTCTTCGACGGAGGGGAAGCATACGTAAAAAGTACAGTGAATGGAATAACGTTTTTCAGCTGTTATTTACCTCCCAGTCTATCAATCGAAGAATACAAACAAAGACTGGACAATATTGTTAGCGACGCTAAAAATATGAAGCCGATAGTGATTGCCGGTGACTTCAATGCCTGGGCCATTGAATGGGGCTCAACATTGACAAACCCCAGGGGAGAGTGCCTACTAGAAGCATTGGCCACCCTGGATGTAGTATTACTGAACTGCGGCCAAAAGGATACATTCACAAGGAACGGTAGAAGCTCTAAGATTGATTTGACATTTATCAGCGATCCACTAGCTAATTCAACTGAGTGGCAAGTGTCAGATATCTACACACATGGTGACCACCAAGCTATCATATTCGAAATACATGACCGCTCAGCAAGAACCATTCCTGCGGTAGCCACTCCAAATCCGCTATGGAAGGAGTTAACTTTGGACAAAGAAGCTTTTAAGCTCTCAATGGACAACATCCACCTAACTGGCAGTGCGAATGATAAAGCAATACAACTGATGCGCTGCATAACAAATTCATGTAACGCATCTATGGCAAAGAAAGGCCGGCGGAATGGCAGACAACATGTGCATTGGTGGACTGACCAAATTTCCGAACTGAGAAGAAAATGCAAACATGCGCGACGACTATGTCAAAGAGCAAGGGGTCGCGAAAATTTTATAGCGCACCAAGAAGCCTATAAAACATCGAGAACTGAACTAAAAAAGGCGATATCGAATAGCAAGGCAAGATGCTTCAAGGAAATGTGTGAGGAGGTCGATAATAACCCCTGGGGACTAGGATATAAAGTCGTTATGAAAAAATTATATAGCTACCGTCCACCAGTTACAACAGACGCAGCTAAGCTACAAGCAATAGTTGAAGGTCTCTTCCCGCAGAGAGCTGATATAACCTATACAGTACAAGATAGTGAGCCACAGAATAAAATACCTGAGGTTAGCAGGCAAGAATTGGAAGTAGTATGCAAAGGTTTGAAACTAACCAAAGCACCTGGAGTAGATGGAATACCAAATCTGGCACTAAAGATGGCCACAGAAATCAACGTTGATTCATTCAGGGAAGTGTTCAACGCATGTATAAAGGAGAGAACATTCCCCCAGATATGGAAAATACAAAGGTTGGTGCTTATACCAAAGGGCAATAACGTACAAGATGCATCAGGCTACCGCCCGCTATGTATGATTGATACGGCCGGTAAACTTTTGGAAAAGATAATTAGCCGAAGACTAGAAGAAGCCTTGAATGGCAATGGTTTATCAGATAGACAATTTGGTTTTCGGAAGGCACGATCCACAATTGAGGCCGTGGAAGCAGTCATAGCCATAGCAAAAGATGCCATTAAAGGAGACCGTTGGCTCGAAGGAGACAAAGAATACTGTGTCATCATTACATTAGACGTTAAAAACGCATTTAACTCAGCGGACTGGGACACTGTTCTAGCAGCACTTCAAGGGAAAGACGTTCCAAAGTACCTAGTAGAATTAATCGTTGACTATTTTAAAGAGAGAATGCTTTTGTATTACACAGACAGAGGCGCAAAGTCATACCAAGTAACAGCAGGGGTACCACAGGGCTCGGTACTGGGCCCAATATTGTGGAACATTATGTATGACGATGTGCTGAGACTTGAGCTCCCAGAAGGCGCAGAAATAATTGGATTTGCTGATGACATCGCGCTGGTGGTTAAAGGGAAACATATAGAAAAGATACAATCAACATGCAACGATGCGGTCGCTATGGTAAGAAGCTGGATCACAAGTGTAGGCCTCAAACTTGCTGATCATAAAACTGAAGTCCTTCTTGTAAGCAGCAGGAAAAAGATTGAGTACATTACAATAACTGTTGGCAATGAGCGAGTCACATCAAAACAAGCAATCAAGTATCTAGGAGTAATGATTGACAATAGACTCACCTTCAAAGAGCATTTACGATATGTTGCTGCAAGATTTGCGAAAACAACGTGTGTACTATCGCGAATAATGCCCAATATAGGTGGACCTAGACAACAGAAGAAGCAGTTACTCACAAATGTAGTTAAGTCTACTGCTATATATGCGGCTCCCATATGGGCAGATGCAATGAATAAAAAGATGTACAGATTAGGAGTAGACGCAGCCTACAGAAGATGCGCTCTCAGAGTTGTTTCCGCATTCCGTACAGTATCTACTGACGCGGCCATGGTTATTGCCGGAATGATGCCACTACAGCAGGAAGCAGAAATTGAAAAGGAAAAGCATGTAGCAAAAAGAATTGGGGTTACAAACTTCAATCAGCTCAATGAAGAAGCATTGAATAAGTGGCAACAGAGTTGGGATATATCCACAAAAGGAAGATGGACGCATAGGCTCATTCCGAAGATAAGTGATTGGACCAACAGAAAGCATGGGCAGGAGAACTACTACCTAACCCAGATGTTAACTGGACACGGCTGCTTCAGAGCACATCTTTTTAAGTTCAAACATGACGAAGACGACACGTGCCCAGCATGTCCATATACAAAAGAAACGGTGGAACATGTGTTCTTTGATTGCCCGAGATATGAGAGCCACCGCAGCTCCTTGGCAAGAGCAACCAGAGAGCAGGTCACACCTGATAACATCATCCAACTGATGTTAAAGTCAACAGAAATCTAGAACCTGGTGTGTATTTTTGCGAAAGAAATCACAGAAGAACAGAGAGCAGCAGAGAGAACTAGAAGAGCAGTAAGAGATGACAGCAATCGCTGAATCACCACCCTCCGAAGTAATGCTTAAAGGTGGTTCCGGAGGGATTTATGGTTAGAAGAGACACGGTGTTAGGATGAGGTTTAGTACGTAGGCGCAAATATCAAGCAAAAGAGTAAGTCTTGGTTGCGAATCGTGCATGCAGGTAGTACGGGCTACCAGTATCTTTTGAAGATTCCACATCCCTTAGCTCGTATAGCTTAAAAAAAAAACATTTGTGCACATTTGTGCAAACGTAATATGAGCAACACACTCGTGTGCAGAGAGAATTTTTTGTGGCACAGTGCGGTGCGAGCATAAAATTTTCTCGCACATCTGATTGTGCATATTTTTGTAAATCAGTCGCACAGCACAATTGTGTGTGCACGAATCTGTGTGCACAATCATTGCTTTGTGCGATGTGAAATTTGAAATCGCACAACAAATTTGAGTGCGTGCATTTTTCTGCTTAACACCACAAATGTGCGTGTGCATATTTTAAAAATAATTTCCACTCGCACAGTGCAGTGTGCGATTTTGTGCACCCCTTTCGAACTCTGGAAAAAACTCTAATATCAGAGCAAATGCACACATAGCTTCTAGTTCATGCGTATGTAAGTTTGTTGGTAAATTTTTTCTACTCTTCTTTTTATTGCACACTTACTAAATATATATATGCATGGGTAGGTGAGACAATATTTTTGAATGTGATGCTTGGATTTTGTTTGTGTGCTTTTTTTTCTTCAAATATATGACTGGCTTCGTGTGCATGAAATACACAAGTCTTCCAAATTATTTAAAATTTGATTTTTGCTGAAATTTTATACTGGCTTCATACTAAAATATGATGTTTGCCTATGACATGATGCGAAAACACCGGAGTAGCGCAACCACAGTTGTTTTTGACATTGTGATATTAACAGAACGAGATTAAGTTAATCTGCATTTTTAATCTCCACCGTTTACATTATATATTGGAGACTGTATATATTGTTTTTGACTGTACGAAGAGTACAGTTTGACTTAGTATGGCCATACTCTTGGCAGTTTGTACATTTTGCCCTACTATATCATTTGTTGGGCTCCTCAACGCTAATTTTACAGTGAAGTAAGTACTGTATATTGTAGATAGGATGGCTCTCATTTTTTGAAAGCTTAGAAG